TCTCGCATATAGAATTCAGAAAATCTGTTTCATAAACAATTGTGAACGTTTTTAAATGCAGATTTGTAAATTATATTTTTTATTACTCCACTAGATTTAGCCATCTTGTTAAGATAGCAGATGACACAATTCACATTTTGTTTGTTTGGCTGTATTTGTTTTAAGACTCCTCGGCAAGTTCATGCTAATCCTTGCATGGGATAGAGAGCATGACGAGTACATACCTATTAATTTAAGAAAATTATTAAACATTTGACTGAACTTTTTATTATTTTGACAAACCACCATTTCAAATGATTTCCCCTAAGGTGTTTATCCACAAAATATTTTTCATCACAACGACATTAAACATGAAAGAATATTATCAGTTACTATCGCCATCTTCTTTGACTCAAATAAAGCAACATCTCTGGTGTACGTAAGCATCTACAATGTGTTCATGTGCTAAACCTCTTTGTTTCTCCACTTCTGTCATATTTGTTAGCTGTAATGCAAACACATTTGAGAACTATGATGTTCCACACTTTTGTTAAGATTATAGAAAAAAATCAAACATGATATTTACATAGGAATTATCTTTGCACAAAAAAAATTGACTAAAAATCAGAAGTGCAGAAGTGTGTACGGCATTTGGCAAAAGAGAATTTTAGCTATAATGAGCACATGAGACAGAAATCCTTTCTTCTGTTCTATTGTGAATGTGTGAATTGTAAATACTATTTTTCCACCAGAGATAATCGATGAGTCTGTTTACATTTTGTTTTTGCATAGTTTTCATAAATACTATTTTTCCACCATAATCGATGAGCCGTTTACATTTTGTTTTTGCATAGTTTTCAGGTGATGTGTTCTTTCTGATTGTGGTCAAACATGCAGTGCATGTTCATAGGAATTTATGAACAACTACAGCATAAAAATAATGCCACTACATCTAGACCTCTTGTTCATACAGCTGATGACGATGTTCACATTTTATTTGTCGTACTCGTTTCTGTCAACATTTCCGCTTGACATTAAAGAGTAGGCCTATGTGTACTCCCTTTCGGTCATAAGCATAAGCATCTACCGTGTGCTAAGATTTTTCGGTTTTGTCCACTTTTGGCAGATTTGCTAGAGGGACTATGTCACCTTGTTGTAATGTGATTACGGTTAAGAAGCATAACATTACACTACACGCGCTTGAAAAGTTATAGACATACTCTTTTATACATGAAATATGTTTGCACAACAGAAATATGTATCAGTATAACAAATACCTAATACTAACAACCTCTCTTCTAAACTGTTGTAAAAGTTTTTTAATGTTGATTTTGATTGTCTGCACCACCAGCTGTGTATCTTTTTCATTGTTTTTGTACAGTTTTTAGATGAAGACTATTCTCAGAGTTTGGTCAAACACGCCTGTGAGTGTTCGCAGGAAAACATGTTTTAGGTATTCATCTGACCAAAAGGTTTGATCCGGGAAACACAACACGACTGCAACTGCGTGTTGTCATGATTGTCTTCATTATTGATCTACTTTTATTAAAACAACACAGCGTGAAGTTACTGTCTTCAACAGCACGGTCCCTTGAAATGTTGTAGTATATCTTTATATTTTTCTAAATATCTAAACATGTATTTAGCTTAAATATTAGTTGTTAGTTGTTTACAAAGTTGTCATGTCTGACGTTTATATTTTTAAGAACATTTGATATAGTTTATCGTTCTGAATTTTATAACATATATTTCACCAAACCTAAAGGTCTGAAAAATAGGTTTAGCATCAGTCCACATTTCAGCTGTTAGCCAGAAAATGCAAGTGAGCTGAGATAATCTACAGAATGTGAAACAAGGTCACAGTTACATTAGAGTTTTGGATTCTAGTTTATGTTGAATAGTGTTTGTTACTGTTCCACATGTTTAACACTTCATTACTCCATTGTGAAATTTCCTTAGGGGAAATCATTTGAAATGGTGGTTTGTCAAAATAATAAAAAGTTCCAGGTCATAAATCACCAATCTGACACATGGTGTTGGATATAACTAAAATGCATTTAAAAACATGATTATGGTGTAATGGTGATTTCATCGTATTCCCTGCTGTTCACTGATAGAGGAACTCTCATTAAGCAACAACTCAGGCTTATCCTGACAGTTAGCCTACCCTAGACGAGGTTAGTTACCCAGAATAAGTTACCAATGTGACTGAGTTTGCGCTATGTTAAATTTGCTTTATGGAACCAAATCAACTGACAACAAGTCAGACTAACTTAAATAAACTTGGCTTATTTGGTAAACTTGTTTTATGAAACAGGCCTCAGTTTTTGCAAATAGTTGGTTCAGACCCTGTATTTTTAAATTTTCTTTTGTTATTTATTTTTTTTTTTAGAAATAGATATGGTTTTACTTTTTTTATTATTATTTTGGCCTTTGCCCAGCACCGGGAGAAAAAAAAAATAGTTTGGGGCAAAATGGTAACACCTAGAACTGTGAACTATCTTTGTTTTGTACAGTTGATTGATCGATTTCATCTGTGAAGTCAGGGACAATATCTGCTCACTGTAAAGCACTGACCTCACTGCTTTACAACATCATATGCATTGTTGCAGAGAAAAATTTAACATAGGAAGTCAAGAGCCCAACTAAAGCAAACATTGATCTCCATGATGATAGCATTTTTTGACCAATAAAACATTTTCTAAACCACTGTTAATTCTCAATAAGAGCTTCTGTAGATGTCTGAGAGAAATAAAGGCAATCTGCATAGTAATGCATGAAGCTGGTGATGCTGTTTTTGGAGTTGTCTAATCATCCCCTGCTTAGATCATGAGAGATTTAATGTCTTCTTTTATTTCAGTTGATTACATCTAAGGCTGTGGCTGGAAGTCAGTTGTAGTTCTTAATGTTTCTCTGCTCTGCAGTGATGGGGATTTTGCTGTGTACATGTTAATTTGCACATTTACATAATTACTTTTTTGTTTTTTAATGGTTAAACTTAAGTAAAAAAAAAAAACATAAGACAGCAATTTGCTACAATTCTACTGTAATATTATATTCAAGTACGTTCCAAATCTAAAATAAATACTATCAAAACAAATGTAGCTGAACGCTTACTATACAAAAGGGGACAATTTAGGAGTTTTCATTGTTGTGGTATTCTATGGCTCATGTTACATACTAGTGAATTAAACAATAGAGAGCTGTCATTCTTGTTTTGTAAAAAAAAAAAAAAATTTTTACAGAATTGAACAATGTAGATTGCTACGTTTTTAGGTCAGTTTTATTAGTGACAAAGTGTGTTTGTGGGTTGACAACATCTGCTACTGGTATGGTAGTTTTAGTGCATTTTGGATATGAAATGTACCACCGTGTAAAATGGTTTTGAAAAATTGACCTAAGTATAGAGAAACCTAGATTTTAGAAACAAAATAATATAAATAAAAAACAGCAGTGCATATCATTTTTGTTTTAATTTCAGTACAGCCATTATCTAAAATTTAAAGCTCCCTTGGAAGTTTGCTGAGGCCCCCTAGTGGGTTCCCTGGTTGACAACTACTGATTTAATCCACCCATTTCCACCAGTTTGGATGTGGAAATGGGGATTTGTGGACTGGTTGCCAACATTACAGATGGGCATTATCCTACTGACCTGGTAATCAGTGGCGCCAGAATATTGTACAGATTTTAAAGATTGTTGTGCTTCCCTATATTCCTTGAGAGAAGTAACATCACAAATACAACAATTTATTTGTAGAGGGGTGTACATATACACACATACAAGGAATGTTACAGCTGCACTGCAAATAAATATTTCACTTGAAAGAATCATGCAGAAAGTAAAATAAAAACATTCTTTACTTATACACATTTTGCTCAAGAAAATGGTTCTTCCTTTGGTTTTCCAAACTGATCACTCTTACAATATACATTTATTTTTTTCCCCAAAAAAATCAGGTACACTCAATCTGACCCTCTCAACCAGTGAGGTCAACTAAATGTATAACCAATTTATATTTCAACCACTAAAATATTTAGCATTTTTATGAATGTTGATATGGATCTGAATAGGATTATATAGTGTCTTCAGTCAAACAATAGTACACTGAGGATATTTGTAATACACACTCAGTATAACAACACAATAGCAGTAAGGATATCAATGGCACAAATTCAATATAAAGACAGAGGCGAATAATTTAATTCATAGAGAAAAAAAAAATCATAGAACAACCAAATAAATAAATAAAGAACTGGTAGGAAATAAAAATGTAAATTGGCAGAGTTTCTTTTCTGAATTGTTTTATAAGTTCTTGTGGGTGTTTAAGTAACCAAATGGCTAAAGAGTATATGAATATCTTCCTACTCCTGGTCTGTGCAATGCCTTGCTTGTCTTGTTTGCACATTGAATCTATGGTTTATTGTGTATATACAGTAAACCACAAAGGCCAAATATGGCCATCAAACACAGCAGAAATAAGTTTCAAAAAACTAAAACAAAACGTTGATTCTTCCATCCATTACATTACCCTGTGCGTATCCAGCGTGACAAAGCCAGCAGAATTTCAAATGAGCAACAAGGTGCTGTCCTGCCTGCCTGCCTACTGATTATCAATGCATATGACACTATATAAAGGGTGTGGGCATCAACACAGATATATATATATGGACATAGGTTTATGAGAGCACAATAAACACACATGCTCATAGAGCTTTAAAAGGTAGCAGCAGCAGCTCTCGGCAAAACCTCTGAGAATAACAAGCAGACCATGGGTTAAAATATTGTCTACGTGGAGTGATACTGAAATCAGGACACCAGCAAACATTGAATCATAGCAGGTGGGCCTAATACAACAGAAGTTATGGTAATAATGTGACACTCAAAGATCAAGCTAAGATGGTTTCTTGAAAAAAAGTTCTACAAATAAAATCAACACTTTTCATTTTTCTTTCTCTGAGCAAGACGCATTGAATTGTGAAAGAAAAAAAAAATGATCATGACAATATTCATTTTAGTGGTTTATATATGACAAGAAATAAGCAGTTGTGTTTTCTTCTTAGTTTGAAAGCCATGAGGTGATTATGCTTCAAAATTATTTCACAGTAATAAAACGACATTCACAGGATGGCTCACTGACAGGCCTTTGGGACTGGTTTTACACAAGATGCCCAAGACGACAATGATCTTACCACTATTTAAATAAAGCTACACTGATCTGCGAAGCAGGTTGTTCTTGTCAGGCTCAAGAAACTCTTCAACTAGAGCAGTGGTCACTTTTCTTAACTCCTCCTCCAGACTAGAGATATCACTGCAAAAATACAATTGAAAACAGTTCAAATTTGCAAATATTTGTCTCCTATATTCAAGAATAGAGAAAAATCAGGTAAAGTCTGCCACTTGGATTGACATTTTGTCTAACTTAGACAATTCATGCATTCAAATTCAAATTATCATCAATTTAAAAATCACATCATAAATTTAAAGTAAAAAAAACAACAACTGGAGTGTTAAAACCAGTGAAGTAGTCTAATACCAACAACATCCTTCATTTCAAAACTTTAATAGACGATACAAACCGTTCTCCAGGTACTGCACAGAATTCTGAGTAATACTTGATCTTTGGCTCAGTCCCGCTGGTCCTTAGTGTGGCAACAACGCCATTCTGAAATGTAAATGTGACCATTTGGCTATTTTTTGACAATGGAAGGACCTAAAGAAGATATTAAAAGAAAATGTATTCCAGTCAAACTGTCTGTCTTTGACTTAAAATCAAGAAACATATAAAATAACTGCTTTGACATACACATTTTTTGTCAGGCTGACTGCTGTCATAACCAGTGGTCACATCTCTGATGTGTGTGATGCAGTAGTCACCACATAATTCTGGGTAATCACCCGGACCTCCAAAATTACGCAGGCGGCTAAATATTCTATGAATAGTTAAAGGGTCACTGCAGAGGACATAGGATGTTCTGGAAACGTGATAGCCATAGCTGGGGTACAACAGTGATAATTATTAGGTTGATCATTATTAGGTACTTAAGAAAGAAAACTAAAAAACGAAAATAAAAAGAGTAGCAGAAGAGATACTCACATTTCATAAATGTTGATTAGCTGTTTGTTCAAGGAAAGGTTTTTGGTGTGCAGATAAGCAGCCATCTCAGCCACAACAGTTGCTGTACTGACTCCATCCTTATCAAGAACCATGTTTCCACACAAAAACCCTGGCATCAAAATAAAGGATGACACAACGTTATCATTCCTCTACATATGCTTTTACACTCAAGTTGATGAAAATACAACCCCTTATAAACTTCAAAACAACATAAATTGTGTGACGTATTTCAAGGTGACACAGGAAAATCAATCAATCGGATTATGAAAAATGGGCATTGCAGTTTGCATTTCTTCTGTATAACACAAAATATTTTTTAAATAATGTTTCAATTCATTTTGTCCATACAAACTCAAAAAGTTCAAAACATCAATGGGCTCCACTGACTTTAAATATGGACAATCAATCAATCAATCAATCAAGATTCTTCTTTTGTGTTCCAAAGAGGAAAGTAAAACAGATTGATGATGACAACATTTTTGAGTGAATTATCCAAAATATCCCACTAATTTACAGAATAAACAGGGCTGTCAAGCTGTTTGTCTGCAGTTAAATGTACTTACCAATGGATTCTTCAAAGGAAAAAATGACTTCCTTTCCTGTTTTTGTTAATTCATGGATTCTTTTTCCAATCCATTTGAAACCAGGCAATGTTTCCTAGGATGAAGGGGAGCAAAGTAAAAATACCAAAGTTCAGTAAGAACTTAAACTAAGTGGCCTTGTATTTTGTTTAGCAAACAAAAATCTACATTTAGATCATAGTCTATATGTAAGAATAACAAAGCACTCAAGGCATTTTTAATCTTAGTAATAACTTCAAATTGAGACTTGAACTAACCTCAAAATGAAAGCCTTCTATGCGTGCAAAGGCTTTAAGTATTTTGGAAGAAACAGTGGTGGCCAGCATGTATACTGTCTCAGTATCTGCTGGGTCAGGGTGTGCTTCCTTCCAGTTAAACAACATCCACCAGCCAAGCAATGCAGCCAACTCATTTCCCGTGAACACTTTCCAACCAAAACTGCCCATAAAAAAACCATTGGACACAACTTGATTCAAGAGTTCAGAAGTACTGTTCAGTAGAATTGATACTGCTGCATTTTACTGCTGAGGGTTTTAATGAGCATAAGATAACCTACTTGCCATTCCGCTCTGCAACTGCCAAGCGGTCAGCATCAGGGTCTGTTGCCACAACAATATGGGCCTCTTCTCTCTCAGCCAAACGAAGGGACAGCTCCTATACAAAGTCAATGCAACACAAGTCAATGGTCATGTCATGTCAAGTCACCTTTATTTATACAGGTGCATCTCAATAAATTAGAATGTCGTGGAAAAGTTCATTTTGAACTTTTCCATGAGATTCTAATTTATTGAGATGCACCTGTATAGTGCTTTATACAATACATATAGTGTCAAAGCAGCTTTACAGAGTTAAACAGGAAAATAGTGTGTCAATAATCCAAGAGGACAATAGCAAACAGTCAATTTTCCAGTTAAAGGGATAGTTCACCCAAAAATTAAAATTCTGTCATTAATTACCCTCATGTCGTTCCAAACCCATGAGACCTTCATTCATCTTCGGAACACAATTTAAGAAAATTATTCTCTTCCCTGTCACTGTCTGCTGGCATTCACGATAGTACCACGACACATGCGTGTGCATTCCTCTGCTTGTAAACAAGAGCATGCGTGTTCTACTTCAGCAGCATCACACACATACGTCATGGTACTCTCGTGAATGGCGGCGGACAGTGACAGAAGAGAAGAGTAGAAGAGAAGAATTGTTGACTAAAGTCATTATTTTTGTTTGCTTTGTTCGCAAAAAGAATTCTGGTAGCTTCATAAAATTACGGTTGAACCACTGATGTCACGTGGACTATTTTAACGATGCCCTTACTATGTTTCTGTGCCTTGAATGTGGTAGTTCCCTTGATGTCTATGCAGGCTTAGAAAGCTCTTGGATTTCATCAAAAATATCTTCAATGTTTTCCAAAGATGAACGAACGTCTTACGGGTTCGGAACGACATGAGGGTGAGTAATTAAAGGGGTGGTTGATTATGATTTAACTTTTTGAACTTTAGTTAGTGTGTAATGTTGCTGTTAGAGCATAAACAACATCTACAAAGTTACGATGCTCAGTGTTCAATGCAAAGGGAGATATTTTATTTTAAAGAAATCACTGTTTAAGGACTACAAAAAACATCTGGTAGGGATTACAATGAGCTACTTCCTCAGTTTGTGACATCACCTAACCCTGATGTGTACATAAACCGCGCCCCCGGGAACACGCAACTACCCGTAATGGAAAGGGGGCGTGATGTTTCCTGACAACGTGCACTAGGCCTCCACACTGAGCCCGCTAAGCAATCAGAGACTATTGCGTATTTCTGAGGGAGGGGCTTCATAGAACCAGGAACTCAACAGACCGTTTTGACGAGAATGGAAACAGCGATGTAGAATAACGGTAAAAAATTTAAAAAATAAGTTTTTTTTTATTTTTTTTTTTTAAACGAAGCAGGAATACATGTTACACTGCACCCCATAAACACAATCAAGCTGTTGAAAAAAGCTGATCAACCACCCCTTTAATGACAGAATTTTCATTTTTGGATGAACTATCCCTTTAGAGTCAGTTCATCGTTGATTCAGTCATCATCAAGCTCAGTTCAGTTCTCTTCAAATTGTGTCTGTGTAATCAAGTGCACAATGATGCCAAAAATCAAGTCATGTCTGCATAATGACTTGGTACAGTATTACTTTTTTTCCACTGTCATGCCATAACCAAGGGGGTCTAAATATATATGGTCCCCTGTTTGCAGCTATAACAGCTTCCACTCTTCTGGTAAGGCTTTACACAAGATTTTAGAGTGTTTCTGTTGGATTTTTTTGCCATTCATCCAGTAGATCATTTTTAAGGCCAGGTACTAATGTTTGACAAGAAGGCCTGGCTCGCAATCTCCATTCCAGTTCATCCTAAAGGTGTTTGATGCAGTTGAGGTAAGGCCTCTGAGCAGGTCAGTCAAGTTTTTCCACAACAAACTCATCCAACCATGTCTTCATGGACCTTTGTGCACTGGGGCACAGTCATGCTGGAGTAGAAAAGGGCCTTACCCAAACTGTTCCCACAAAGTTGGATGCATTGCATTGTCCAAAATGTCTTGGTATGCTGAAGCATTAAGATTTCCCATCACTGAAACGGGCCGAGCCCAACCCCTGAAGACAGGCCCATACCATTATCCCTCATCCACCAAACTTTACAGTGCGTTCAGGCAGGTAACATTCTCTTGGCATCCGCCAAACTCAGACTTGCACATCAGACTGCCAAACAAAGAAGCGTGATTTGTCACTATAAACAACAGGTTTCCACTGCTCCAGAGTCCATTGATGGCATGCTTCACACCACTCCATTCGATGCTTAACATTATACTTGGTTATGTGAGGCTTGAATGCAGCTTCTCGGCCATGGAAACCCATTTAATGAATCTTCTGCCGCACAGTTTTTGTACTGATATTAACACCAGTGAAAGTTTGGACTATGAGTATTTTAAGCACTCTGCGCCTCAGCACTCAGTGACCCCGCTGTGTGATTTTACATGGTCTTCCTATTCATGCCCGAGTTGCTGTTTCACAAACTGCCTTACTGCAAAGGTGTCATCCTCTCACAGTCCCATGATTGAATTCACTAAGCTCTTCAGAGGCCCATTTCAGAAAGGAGGTTAAGTGAAAACTCTGAGTATGTTGACCCTAAAATGAGGGGAACTCTGGGTTTTCCGTTTCAGAATGGAAGGATTGTCAAACCCGAGAAAGCAGGGTAAGTCAAGTCCGTTTCTGAAAGAGAGGTAACTTATACTCAAGAGTCAGTTACCATGATAATTTACTCTGTGAACCTAACCTGGTCTGGAGCAGGTTTTCTTCGTTAAACCCAGAGTTTATGTCGGTCTCCTCTCCCTTTTTAAAACATAAGCAATGTTTAAATACATCATTTATTCATTCACGCTGCAAAAATGCTTTTCTTAGTGAGTATTTTGGAATCTAAATTAAGTACATTTTACTTAAAACAAGAAAAACAATCTTAATGTAAATGGAAACAAGATTATTTTTCTTACCCCATTGGCAGATAATTTGCAAAATAAGAAAAATTCACTTAAAAGACTAAATACCTTATGTAATTTTTCTTATGTAGAAAATTCATCTTGATTTATCTTTAGATATTTTGACTGGAAACAAAAAGACAAAAATACTAAGAAAATATTTTTTTTTGCAGTGCTGGTACATTCATTCATTGCACATATTTTCATCATGCAGATGGTGAAATGCATTCGTAGGGAGTTACATTTACATCGGGATATGATTATTTTGATTTTTTTGCCATATCTGCATGCATATTTATTTGAGCAGTACCATTTTTAAATGGTAGTTTTCTATATAACATCAGGGATGCAGAGCACATTAGTAAGGTCGCTGTATGCAGAGCGGTGAGGAAAGTGTGACTCGCTCTCACGCTCTTTATGAGAATTTGTGTAGTTTTCTGAGCACAAACCCATCAAAAATGAAAATTAATATTAGTTCAATAACTTACTTTTCTGCCAGTTTTTACCTTTGATATTATATCAGTGATTAAGAATTATAGTTACATATTCACTTGGAAGTATGCAGACGTCTTTTTGTCGGCTGCTGTTGCTAGGGCTGGGCGGTATGACGGTATATATTGTTACCGTGGAATAAATTGTCTATTGTTAGAGATTTTGCTATATCGTGTATTCTGCGGTATGCAAATATATCTGTGTAACATAGTACTACTTAAAAGTTATATTCACCTTGGAGTGACAAGGAAACATGCATGAATGAGAAAATAAAGAGTGGGACGCACTTGATAGCTATTAAGCGCAATAAGCAGTGAAAAAGTACTCAATGCGGTGCTCGCGCTGACTGACAAACCCACCGAGAAAGCGCCTCTCTCAGACAGCATGCGATCGCCAATTTGGGACTTGCATGATGTTTAATAAAGCTATTAAGCGCAATAAGCAGTGAAAAATAACAATCCGCTGCTCGTGCTGACTGACACACAGCCGAAGCACGCGCACTGAAAGCCCCTTTCTCAGACAGCATGTGATTGCAAAAACAGATCTCTTTCGTGCTTGAATGGTCAAATACGCACAATTGTCATGGTATCCCACAGGCAAAAGAAAAAGCAAAAAAAAAAAAAGCAGCTAAACATTATGTCAAAATGCCGTCGTGTGGAGTATTCACAGAAACACAGTTGGTTATGTGTTAAATAAACGTAAATAAAACCAGATGTGTATCAGTATATTGGATCCGTGCAGTTGGTCTTAAAGGGACAGCAGTCTAATTTACCTGCTGCTGTCTGTCATTAAAGTTAATCACTCACTGCACTTTACTGAATCACTTTTGGATCTTTAATAAGAATCAGTTCATGTTTGATTCATACAGTGAAATAAGAATCAGTTCATGTTTGATTGATACAGTGAAGACTATGCAGTGTTTTATTTATACACTTCATTCAATTTATGTAAAATTTCCTTCTTCATGTTAAATAAACCTACTGTAGCCTACCATAGCTGAATAAATTAAAAGTGTATTTTATATTAATGTGTGCTATTGTGTTTGTAATTTGCTTCTTTTTCTTATTTGTAATAACAAAACAAAAAAATAGCTATATCGAGATATTGTTATCGTGAAATAAAATTGATCATACCGTGAAATAAGATTTTGGTCATATCGCCCACCCCTAGCTGTTGCCATGGTGAATCATAATTTCGGAGCTCCATTGATCATGGCTTTTCATAGTCATGGTGCATGCGCTAAACTCGACTCTGAGTAGGTTAACTCTAACTCAATTCAGCTGTTCTGAACCCGAAAACTCCCATCTCAGGGTAAGTCAACTCAGTGTTCACGTTTCAATTTTCAGTTGGTTGAACCTCCTTATTGAAACGGGCCCCAGAACAACCCATTTGTTTTTGCTTGTGTACACAGACTGCATGGCTAGGTGCTTGATTTTATACACCTATGGGAATGGGTATAATTGAAACACCTGAATTTAATAATTAAGAGGTGTGTCCCATACTTTTGTCCATAGAGTGTATATGATATCTTAATTTTATCTTTATATATAAATCTTTTGAGACTGATAATCTTACCAAGACTGATTCTCCTTCCTCTGGGTTAGGACAACTGACAGTTGAAAAATCTGGATCTGTTTCTTTCTGTTCTGGAACAGGGATGGGAGGTGGAAAGCCAAACTGCTGAAAAGCTCTCTGGACATAGTTGTGACCAACACCATGGAAAGATGAGTGCACAAACTTCAGGGGAGACTTTGCGTTAAGCTCTCTGCAATGAGAGAAGAAAAATAAATAAATAAAACGTATTGATTTGTGCTAAAACTTCTAAATTTGTGAAGTAATTCATTTTAAAAAGTGATCAAAAATCAAATAACCCCCTATATGTTAAAACAAATACTTAATTGAACAAATACTTCATTCTCTAGGCAAACAGAAAATGACAAAGGATAGTTCACCCAAAAATGAAAATTACCCCATGATTTACTCACCCTCAAGGCATAAGGTCCAGTGAGAATATGCTAGTCTCGCGAGAACCTAGGTTTGTTTACAGTAGCAAAGGAAGCAAAGTTTCCTTTGTTAACAAAGAAAACCAGTCTCCTCTTGGCTTATATCGAAATCCTCCAAAATTCTTCTTTACAAATCCTCATTTTGCACTTCTAATTTGTGACCAGTGTTTTGTTTTGCTCTCTCCTCTGCGCTTCTGCATTTGTCACTTCTCACCGGAGTTTATACTACTCCTACGCCCTACTGGAATGCCACTCTCTTGTAAATGAGTGTATGAGAGTTAGCGGAAGCTAGAGATTACGGTTTATAAAATTTTAAAGCTGCAGTCCGTAAGTTTTGTCTCTTTGTCGCCATCTCTGTTTGAAAACCTGCAATTGCAGCTGTGTGCGGAATTATCTTCCTTGCGTGGGTTGTGCACCGGCACAGCTCCAGCGCGGATGAATCTAATGTTTTGAGAAGTATGTGTGGCAGTCAGTCACCACGCCGGTGTGGATATTGTACTTTGCACTCACAGATTCTAGCCTACGTCTTGGAATACATGACTCAAATAAGCATTCATAAACACATAATCCTTTCTGGATTACAATCCCCCATCAAAATTATACATTTAATTATTCTGGCTGCTGTGAGAAAAGGCTATAAACGATCTGCCACCTGCAGGATCCTCACATGTGATAGCCTAGTAGCCGGGACAACTTCTTTATGTTTACAGAAGTGACGTAATGACGTAGCGACATTCTCGAATTTCCCTCGAAAACCTACCTGTACCACTCAAATTAGAAAACATTATTATAAGCTGACCGTTGTGAATCGGGCTAAAGTAAGGCGATAGTTTCGAACACTGGCTGGTTATGTACTTGCTCAAATATTGATTTCGAATAATTTTTAACCAAAAAAAAGTTACGGACTACAGCTTTAAATATGGATATTTTTCTTATCATGATGCATCGATTTGCTTCAGGAGGCCTATATTAACCTCTCGGAGCCGCGTGGAGCACTTTTTATGATGGATGGATGCAGTTTATTGGACTTGAATTGGGCTATTGAATATTACCACCCATTCACTTCATATTATAAAGCTTGGAAGAGCCAGGACATTTTTAAATATAACTCCGATTGTATTCGTCTGAAAAAAAAAAAGTTATATACACCTAGGATTGGTTGAGGATGAGTAAATCGGGCTAATTTTCATTTTTGGGTGAACTATGCCTTTAAGATTATTGTTTAGAGATCATTATAGATCACTGTTTCTTTTATATATATATATATATATATAAAAAAAAAAAAAAAAGTGTCAAACATTTGCATTAGTACTAAAAGTAAACCAAATAACAGGATGACAATGCCAAGTAAGTATTATAATTTGTTTTGTCTACCATATTGACAAGAAAAAAACAAAAGCACTCTTAATTTGTTTCCTTGAAAAATTACTTCAATGTTTAGCAATGGATAGTTAATTAAGAATAGTTCAATTTAAAAGCATTAAATGCAATTTATTAATATTTAAGTTTTTTAATAAGTCAATGGTAAAATGTAATTATGATAAAATATAATTGTGAAATTTCACTGGTATTGGTATCACCTAATACAATTTTGATATTGTGAAATATTTAAAAATAAGTATATCATATTGAGGGGGACAAATGATACAAGGGCACCTCTTATTTTAAAAAGCCTGATATACAAGCTTTTTTTTTTTTTTTTGGTAATACAAAGGTTCTCTAGAACAGTGGTTCTCAATTCCAGTCCTGGGGTACCACTGCTCTGCACATTTTGTATGACTCTCTTATCTGACACCCTCGGTTAAGTTCATGGATCTCCCTCCTAACGAGCTGATGATCTGAATCAGGTGCGTTAAATAAGGAAGACACACAAAATGTGCAGAGCAATTGTAGCCCAGGACTGGAATTGAGCGCCACTGGTCTAGAATATAAAAAGACGCAACACACTCAATGTCAAATAATGTTTTTTATGACACCAAAATGCTTCTTTTAAGAATACTTCACTGAGAGTTTTCTTGGGAAAACAAAAATGGTTTGTCATTGTTTCTTCCTAGCACCTTTATTTTTAGTAGTGTACATTTAAAAAAAAAAAACTACCAGTACTCGCTCTTAGTACAGGTGAGAGACTGCACCTGTGGAAGCAGATAGTGTTTAGCTCTTCCATGTACCAGCGGCAGACGTCCTCGAGAGGGTCTCTCCGTAACAGGCTGCTTTCAACTAGGTGCTCATTCCAGGACTCGGGCCAGGGTTCAGTATTCTCCTCAATGCAATGCAAGATCTCCTTATCATGTGGAGAGGAGATCTGTGCACCATTGTGCCAGTAAACCTACAGAAAATCCACACAGCTGAATCAGATAAATGGAACATCTTAAGGCTGGAATACACTACACGACTTTTAAAATCTGAACAGATTTTAAAACACTGGGGATCATACAATTACCGACTTGTAATAGTCACAGAAGTAAAACTGGCCATCATTCTAAACGACTGACTACCAGACTTTAAAGTTGTTCCGATCACAACAAACTCACACCTTGTTGCTAGGACACGCATGAAAACAATGTGTTCTAAAATCTGTTGAAAATATAAAACATGTTTGATATCCTCCGACTGGATGGATACGTAGTCTGAAGCTAAAAGAAATCAAGAGTCTGTGACCATCATGCACCATGTGATTTTCTATGAAATCTATCAACTCAAATCTGCAGACTGGCTCTGACTTTCAGCAACTAGCGTCAACTTCTCTAGACTGTAAATCAGCGGAAAATCGGGGCAAAAATCGTGTATTGTTTTCCAGCCCTTAGACTCACTGTTCTGAGGTATATACAAGACATACTTTAGCGTGCTTGTGTTATGGTTTTTCCTTTGAAATATCAATGATATTAAACTTTATACAACAGTTCGTTCTGGTTCTCAAATCTGATTGGTTGAGAACCGTGAGCTATTGTATTGGTATCGCTACAGGAATGCACTTTCACAATTTTGTATCACTCCGCTTGTTCTAGCCAGGTCTATGTTTTTTTTATTTTTTTTATTATTATTCACTGAGATAATCGTAGAGTATGTTAGTTAATATAAGAACAAACGTCTAGCTTTGCGGTCTCTCTCTCTCATTTGGATGCATGTCTTGCCGCATTATTTCTCACTAATAACCTAACTGAAGCAGCACATGCCCTTGATACGAATTCTAAAAATGACGTATGTTTAACTGTCAACTTGAGCTTTGAATCCGTGGCAGAAGGAAGTAGTTCCGCACAAAAGAGGGTTTTATTAGGCACTCCGTTGTTTCTTGTTTAATTACACATATGTTCCGTCGAACTGTTGTATAAACGCAGTATCACTCGAGTACGAGAGCGATACCGGCTCTATATTAAGCCCATTTAGCTGGCTGGCCAGGTAAGTTTCAGTTTTGCCAACTCTGGGTTTTAGGCACCATGAGTGATTTCATGTTTTTGTTACAGTCTCTGGGGGGTTGAATCATTTTAAAAATTGCAACTGTATGTTATCCACTTATGCCCCATTCACACGGGGCGTCGGCATCAACGCCTCTCGTTTACTTTGAATGCAGTGACGTCAAGCGTTGCCGAAATGAATTGTGGGTCCGTCGCGTCACGTTGGGTCCGTTGCCCGCGGCAGAAGTTGAAAACTTTTCAACTTTTCAAGCGCCAACGCAGGCGTCAGCCAATCAGATCGCCTTATGCAAATACCCTAGCGCAGACACTAGCCAATCGCGTTCATGCAACACCAGAAGACTAATGTGATTGGCTGTTGTCACTATGACGGTCGCGTCAGCACCAAGCTTCAGAAACGCCCTCCGTCAAGCATTAACGCTCACGCCCCGTGTGAATGGGGTGTTAGATAACTTTCAATGAGGAATTTATGTAGACAATAAATCTACAAAATTGTGTCATCATTTACTCACCCTCATGACGTTACAACCCTGTATGGCTTTCTTTCTTCTGCAGAACACAAATAAGATATTTTGAGAAACGTCTCAGTGATTTTTATGTCCATACAATGAAAGTCAATGGCAACAAACTGTTTGGTTACCATCATTCTTCAAAATATGTTCTTTTGTGTCCCACAGAAGAAAGAAGGTCATACAGGTCTGGAACAACTTATGACAGAATTTTCATTTGGGGTGTTATATTTTATTGTACACTAATCTGTCATTTGTCTTTTTAGCCCAAGTGTATTTTCTTATTGTAATGAAGGAGAATGGCCTTGACAACTGAAAACTGTAGACAATTTCATAAATTCACAGTAAAATAGGATTAGCAGATGCTCACCTTGTATCCATTGTCCTCTTTTCTGTTATGAGACGCAGTGATCATGACTCCAGCTGCAGCTTCATACTTCATCACAGCATATGGCTGGAGGACAAAATGATGGAAATACAATTCACAGGATTGGAGTTCCAGTTTGTTCATTATAATTGCTCCTAAATATCTTTCCCAAATAACAACAACTTGAGAAAGGTATTTTAGTTCTTCTACATACTACTGTAATTTAAATGCATAAAAAAATTTAATTAAAAAAATCTATCAATAACATGTTCTTACCACAAATGGGGTAGGCACATATGTAGAGAACAGATAGACAGGGATATCTTTACAAAGCATAACAGCTGCAGTCAACCTTGCAAGTCTGCAGAGAAAAAATACATACATATTTTTTACACTGTTACACAGATGTGAACATGATTCTGAAATCAACATGATTCTGAATAAGATGTTAACATGATCCAAAGTTCCTCTCTTTTATGGACATTGGCTTAATCTGGTTATCATAATTTTATATTATTAGGAGTGCGCCGATATGTCCGGCACGGGTAAAAAAAAAAATTATAATGCTGAAGGTGAGGTACTGTACAATTCACATTTCTTTATTTAATGACTAACAAAGTAATTTGAAAACTTTCTCTGAGATGTAATTTGACAAGTCTTGTCAGTGTTTAAACCATTCAGCACTTGCACACTCAAAGCGCATATACACATACAGCTCACAAAATCAGGCTTGCCCCGTGTGTAAGCTATTGTGCAGCAACTGCCCCATTGTATAAACAAAAATTGCACTGCATGATCAAACATTTAGGTGAGATAATGCGTTAAATGCTTACAAAGTCGTGTTACAAAGGGGGAAGTCGTGGCCTAATGGTTAGAGAGTCGGACTCATAACCCAAAGGTTGCGGGTTCCAGTCTCGTACCGGCAGGGATTGTAGGTGGGGGGAGTGAAAGTACAGCGCTCTCTCCCACCTTCAATACCACGACTGAGGTGCCCTTGAGCAAGGCACCGAACCCCCAACTGCTCCCCGGGCGCCGCAGCATAAATGAATGGCTGCCCACTGCTCCGGGTGTGTGTTCACGGTGTGTGTGTGTTCACTGCTGTGTGTGTGCACTTAGGATGGGATAAATGCAGAGCACTAATTCCTAGTATGGGTAAACTTTCAGTTCATATGATCTTCATTTGTTGGTCTTTTTTTGTTGTGTAGACCTCTATTTACACATCTTAGCAAATAATCTATTAATTATTTGTTCATGCTTTTGCAGTACTCAATCTAAAGTGGAAACTATTCGTCATTTGCAAATGTTTATAAATAACAAAACATTAATACCTTTATGAGCAGTCATCTCAATGGCAAAAAGTGTCCCGAAAGACCTGAATTTACCCTATTCACACATCTTTACTAATCATTTATTAATCATTTGTTCATGTTTTTGCAATAGCCAATCTAAAGTTGAAACTATTCATCATTTGTAAATTTTTATAAAGGATTACTAATCATTTAGTATCTTTATGGGCATTTGACTTTTAGCTATTGTAACAAGGTTTGTGTAAAGGGTGGCTGGTTAAGTTTAGTTAAATGCTTGCTAAAGACAAAACCGATTGTTATTTTGGTGCAAAAAAAAAAGTTTTTATTGCCTCAACACTCACATTAGTATACTACTCTTCAGTATATCATTAAACAGGAGATTCCTTCAATCATAAATAAACAGGGGAAAACAAACTTGTTAATTTATCAAAATAATATAATATAAACAGATTAAACCGTGTTCCCTTATAATGATCAAATTGACCCCTGTACACTGTTGACCCCTTAACCAACCCTTAAACCTACCCATACCACCAAACCTGTCCCCAACATTACCCGTATTACACCTCAATAGCAGCAAAAGCTTTTAATCACTTTATAACATCTGTTAAAATCATTTGTAGATTTTCAATAAGTGCTTGATCATATGGAATTGGAAGTTTAATAAAAAAAATTTTTATCTTACATGAAATAATGATTTGTTTGAACAGTATCTAATGTTTAATAAGTTTATTAGCAAACAATAAAGGGATACTCCACCCCAAAATGAACATTTTGTCATTAATCACTTACCTCCATGTCGTTCCAAACCCGTAAAAGCTTCGTTCGTCTTCGGAACACAATTTAAGATATTTTGGATGAAAACCGGGAGTCTTGTGACTGTCCCATTGACTGCCAAGTAAATTACACTGTCAAGGTCCAGAAAAGTATGAAAGACATCTTCAGAATAATCCATCTGCCATCAGTGGTTCAACCGTAACGTTATGAAGCGACAAGAATACTTTTTGTACGTGAAGAAAACAAAAATAACGACTTACGTTTTCTGTGTATTTACGCTTTGATTTGAACGAAAACAGCACATCCACGCGCAGCTGACACAGAAGAGTGTACGCTGCTTGCGTTCAGCGGATATTCTCCAAAATGGCACTACGGTGATGTGGAGAGACACAGAGGAGACGAATTGTTGAATGAAGTCGTTGTTTTTGTTTTCTTCGCGTACAAAAAGTATTCTCATCGCTTCATAAAATTCAGATTGAACCACTTTGGATGGATTATTCTGACGATGTCTTTCATACTTTTCTGGACCTTGACAGTGTTATTTACTTGGCAGTCAATGGGACAGTCACAAGCCTCCTGGTTTTCATCCAAAATATCTTAAATTGTGTTCCGAAGACGAACGAAGCTTTTAGGGGTTTGCAACGACATGGGGGTAAGTGATTAATGACTACATTTTCATTTTGGGGTGGAGTATCCCTTTAACGAGCACATTATCACACGTTTCTAACTCTTTGAATATATATTAACTAATGCTCCATTAAGCATTATATAGTGTTTGTTAATGATTTATTAATGAAAATTATTATAAAGTAAAAAAAAAAAAAATTGTTATATAAAAAAAAAAAACATACACGTTTCAGGATAAGAGAGCCAGACAGAATTTACATGTCTTGCAACTACACCTTTAATTAAAAACTGATAAAGACTGAATAAAATTGGTCACTTACTATATAGGATTGGCATTATGTTACATAAGCCATCTTCTAGTTCTAAAACTCTGGAATTTACAAATCAACAGATAAAATACTAGCCTATAATAACAGGCCTATTTAAGAAAGAACATGCTATTTTGTTGATGTACATTAGGTATGAAATATGTCAAATTATAAACACAGTAGGGCTGCAACAACTAATCGATAAAATCGATTATTATCAATAATGAAAATCATCGACAGCGATTCTCATTATCGATTAGTCGGGTCTGCCCACAGTGCACGTCCAACTTCAGCCGGTCGCATCAAATTACAGCACTTTCTATGCACAAAATGCATCTAAAAATAGTGAAATAGTTATGAGAGTAGGAACTGTAAAGGGATAACAGCATGTAATTTTCTGAATATAAATATCAGACGCTTCATAGATGACAAAATGCATCTAAAAATAGTGGAGGAAACAGAATGCGCTCCTGCAGAAAAAGTACATGATCCAAGCTGCCCAAAACATGAGAAATCTTTATTTTAAGCTTCAAGCTGATGCATTAGCATAATGGCTTGCCCTGTCAGACACTTTGACAGATACGTGTCTGCGTAATAAATTGGCCAACTAATCGATTATCAAAATAATCGTTAGTTGCAGCCCTAAAACACAGTAAAGGTGTATTTGGATCAAGACAGTTCATATGATGGATTGGAGAATGTTACCGTTCACTGGTGCAGCCACTACTTGTTTGGGCACGAGTGTCAAAACCGACCACCAGCCCTCTTGTTTTCAGGTCAGGGAAATATTTGGCTAAGTACTTGTACATCCCCTACAAGAATAATGAAGAAAAGACAGAGTTATCATCATCAAAAGAAATACAAAATGCCAAAAAATACAAGATATAAATCAAACAAAACAACAAAGAACACAAGATAAAAGCTTGTGGGTCATGTGTCCAGAGGCAGTATTCCAGATAAATGTGGAGTTGGTCATTGTTGATATGATTGGTCTTCAAGTTCAAGGAACATGTAAAAGTCACTGCATTAATAATAATAAAAAAAATAGAAAAATAAATCAAATTGAAAAGCAAAATGCTAACAAAATGGGAATGTGTGTAGAAGTGTTACACTCTATTTTTACTTACATAGAATCAGCAAACAACTATTTGCTATGTCAAGTGTCAAGATATAGTGTAGTGATGAGATAAAACCCCTCTGTATGTGTTGTAATCCAAGCTTTTCTGTTCAGTTTTTCAGCAGCTGGGATGGGCAGAGCGTGTTTGTATGTTGGCCCTTCCTGCAGAGTGACCTCCCACACCGCTCTGTAAAACCAAGATGGCGGCGCAAAGTATGGAGCTTTCTGCTGATGGTTAACTTCCACAAAAAAAAAAAGGATTCTGCTGCTAATGGGTTATAATTTCACTAACAACTTCTAACAACTACTACACTTTTGTAATGACAACATCTTGGCCACGTTTCTATATTAGCATCATATTTACCTTGTCACTTGACATTATTTAGAAATGCATCTCAAAGAATATATTTATGAAAACAATGTCCTATCTTATTGCACAGCATCAAAGCAGTACATAAAACAGCACAGTCCAAAATAACTTAAAGGAGACATATTATGCCCCTTTTTACAATATGTAATATAAGTCTCTGGTGTCCCCAGAATGTATCTGTGAAGTTTCAGCTCAAAATACCGCACAGATAATTTATTATATCATTTTGAAAATGCCTATTTTGAGTGGAAGCAGAAACACGCTGTTTTTCGGGCCTGTGTCTTTAAATGCAAATGAGCTGCTGCTCCCCGCCCCCTTTTCCAGAATAGAGCTGCGCCATTACAGCTCGGACCTGCTAAAAACATCTGTTTTGGTTCTGATTATCATGTTTATCGTGCTGAAATCATGCGTTTTAAACCATACGAGTTTAAACTAATGTGGAAAATAAAGACATAATATATTACTAGGCCTACTTATTTTCTGCTGCCCATCAACGCGGAGATATACATATAAATATATACTATTGTAAAACAGTAATTCAATGGTAAAATCTGAAATTCCACGACTACACTAAAGAGATATTGAAATCGCCATTATACTGTGATATATTCTTGCTATGACAATATCATTGAATTACAGATATTCGTACTGTCAGATGGGCTGTATTTTGACATTTTATTGTTGAAATAATACAAACAGAGTGGTTTCACTTCACGCTTAGTGTAAACAGGCCATTAAATTGAAGGTCAAATAATGAGATTCCATCTGCATACTGTTAACCTGGACTAACCTGTGTGGACTGGATGACAGTTAGGTCATTGATGCAAGCAAACCCCGCACCCATCTCCGCTCTCAAGCCAGCTGTTCCAAACGTCATCCTGGAGCACAACCTCCTCCTCAGCTCCACCACATGGCCCTCTCGCACCAGAGACTCCATCTGCTTCCGTGTCTGAGGATTCTAAAGAGCCAAAAACTAGTGTTGTCATCTTAAATTTCAAGTAAAATAAATAATAATAAAAATAATAATTACACCCCTGAACCCAAGCATAAAATGGCCCCGAAGTCTATATTTATCTAGGGTCCCAACATAGTTCCCAAGGCTTAATTTGGGGACTTTTCCCAGCAAATACTGATATATGCAATAATTTGTCTAATTAATAGGCATTTCTTTCATTCCTTCATTCATTAATTTAAATCAACTGACAGCCCAAACAAACACACATAATAGTATAGTACAGCAGTCTAATTTGGAGGTATTTTTAAGGACAAACATGATTCTGAGACACCGCAGGCCATTGCAAATGGTAAGTTATTGATCAGATCAAAAATCAATAATGTTCTTACATATAAATAGTGAAAAAAGAGGGCAGCACCAGACACTCTTCCCAGCATTTGCTTTTAGTATGCCAGGTTCAGTAATGAGTCAGCTGAAATGCATCTAATCATGGATTTTTTTTAAACAGTCTGGACGGAAAAATAATTCCTTTATTTTCCGTCGCTGAAAGCTGATCTCTACAGCCTAGACAGAACAGGCTTCCGATTAATCCAAACATGTAAACTAGCTGAGCCATCTAAACATGTGAACACAAGAATGCTTAAATAGCATTAAAAGTACACAATCACTAAAAGTACCACTTAAACATACCACAAAGTGAAATGCCACTTTCCATCTATTTTTGCTGGGCTAATGGCTTTTTTTTTTTTTTTCACAACTGCCAGCTGGTTGCCCCGTAGTGTACTACTATATACACCAGTCATCCAGTGCTGGCGGAGTTTGACATTTGCAAGAGGAGGTCAGCCAGACATATGACTATTAAATTTGCCTGAGCAACAAAAACCGAAAAAGAGATGCAAACTGTACTAATATACTTACAAAACAATGTGTAATTTCTGAACATATCTGAAAATAGCACTAAAATAGCTGTTTCAATGTACCATCTCTGAGATCTCAATATTTAAAGCATAAGACCTTTTTAATATATTAAAAACATAGTGATACTATAATATCACCATGGCATACCATGGCACATCCACTTTAGTACTGAAAATCTGAAACCATCACTGTCCCATATACTGTACAGGACCAGTACTTTTTGTAAGGGTGGAAATACCATGGTTTTTCTAAGTGTACCATGGTAGTACCATCCAATTATAAAAGAGCACTGGGGTATGGCAATGAAATCAGATGCATACCATGTTCCTTTCATATATTTAATGGTACTAAAATTCATGGGCCATGGTATTTACCTAGTACTCCAAGGTACTTCCAAGAATACCACAGTACTACTATGGTATGTATCCAAAAACCATTGTAGTAACATGGCACATATCAAATTACAATGGTATCATCATCTGATATCATCATTGTACCACCACAACCCAACATTTCAATGACTCAAGTTGGCACTGCAATGCAGTGAAATGCAATGTGATACTAAATGCTTCAGAGGGTTTATTTCTGATAACATTGCTCTTAATGGTCATGACTACAAAAACACACACACACACAGTCCTATAATTTCTAAGCAGATGCTGTATTAAAAAAAAATTATGAGCACAGTCTGATTAAGACAAACAACATATGAACAATATGAAAACACTTCATAAAGCCACTGACAGTGGCAAGGGTTGGCAACCATTGTCACACACACACACACACACACACACACACACACACACACACACATAATGTCAGTGTGAGAATGTTTAAAACCGGTTACATTCTCACCTTATCCCAGGCCATCCACTGATTGACTGCTTTGTCCAGGACCAGGTCCCCAGTGCTGCTGAGACATTGTGAGTTTGCGTTGAGGTCTCCATTAGACCCCATGTTAGCGGTAGATCCAGATGGGTGAGTTTAGATAGGAACTTCTAACCGGTGCGACTGAATGTTATATTATTGCACACAGCGTGCTCGGAAATTAAAGATTAACGGCGTGACGTCACCATTCAAATAGGTCACAGACGAAAGGCGAGACAGACCGTCAACTTGTTACACTAAATGCGTATCAAAATAAGTACTGTTATACGTCGCGTCAGTTTATCCATGCCCACAGACGAAATGACATTCGGGTCGTTTTAAATACTACATTTTCTAATGGCTATAAAAAATTATTCAGTGTTGCATTGCAGCTGGATTACTTCACTTTAAACCTAACAACGTTAGGTCCTCAGTTAGAGCAGCCGGTGAGCCGCATGCAGTTAGCATTGGTGGATTTAGCCTAGTTATGTGCGTTTGTTGGTGATCAGAAAGCAGTTCCGTTATGAGCGCACTTCACGTCACAAAACACGTGTGCAAATGTTTCTCTAAAACTGAAAGAGTGTTGCAGTGGCTTTATGGCGCATAAGAACAGCGGCTACCATCAAACTCTTTAGCTAAACTGCTGTGTGACTACTCAGGGGTGGGTTGGGCTTAGATGCGGGATACTGGGAAATTGAGTTTTTTCCTCGATGTTTTCAACAAGGCAGTAGTGTTAAAGGGGTCATATGATGCTGCTAAAAAGAACATTATTTTGTGTATTTGGTGTAATGAAATGTGTTTATGCGGTTTAAAGTTAAAAAACCACATTATTTTCCACATACTGTACATTATTGTTTCTCCTCTATGCCCCGCCTTTCTGAAACGTGTTGATTTTTACAAAGCTCATCGGTCTGAAAAGCGAGGTGTGCTCTGATTGGCCAGCTATCCAGTGCGTTGTGATTGGCCGAATACCTCAAGCGTGAGACGGAAATGTTACGCCCCTCACATATTGTGGTGCCATGTCCCAGCCGGAGCGACGAGACAAAAACATTAAAACCCATTACAAACGAGGCATTTGTTGCATCCAGTGGGGACATAATTACTGAATATAATGACTTATACTGTCTTTCTACGCGTT